AGCAAAGAAGCAAATACCCAAGGCTTGCTCGATCGCAAAAGGCCTCGCTCGAGTGAAGAAGCAAAAACTTAGGCAGCAGCCAATTGTTTGAACTCACAACCAACCTGTACCAGACTCACCCAACACACCCTAAAACTCGAATACAAAGAATTAAAGGATGAAAACAAGATATAAACAACAACATACAACCACGGAACCCGAGTCTAGAATACAATAAACAATGGGGAAAAATCGAGATTGTTATATTTTCCCTTTTCACTACAACTTAATTTTATTTCATCTCTCACATCTCTCTCTCTCTCTATATCTCTATCCCTCTCTCTCAATTTTTGAATTATAGAGGAAATGGGTATCTTCTCATTGATGACAGGAATAGCATAAAGCAAATGCCTTTATAATAAATGCATAAACCAATCATTTATATAGGAAATGGGTATCTCTCTCTCTCTCTCTCTCCCTCAAAATAAATGCATAAACCAATCATTTATAATATCCATAGACATTAGAAAGTAAAATATATTCCTTCATCAGAGTGTTTCTTACAAAAGGTGTTACAGGTTGACAACAAAAGTAAATGCCGTACGGGCTTATAACTTTCGAAGTCAACACTTGGTTTTAATGAAAGAGAGTTCTAACTCTAAACATATTAAGCCCTTGGCTTGAATTACATGTAATACATAAGATAACCACAAAAATAAACCTTCAGCTTCTAAACCTCCCAAGCTACATCCTTGGAGGCGGCATATCACCTGTACCTGAAAATGATGTCCCATATAGGGTGAGCCAAAGCCCAGTAGAGATACGCTAAACCAAATATGAGAAATAACTAAAACATTAGCATATGATAAATGTTTAACTCATATAAACCAACGTACATCTCTTCCATAACCAATCCATATTCACAAGTGTATTTCAATCCTTTTTCCGTTTCATTATCCAAATCAATTCATAGATATTGTACATTGTTTATCCGAACAGTTCAAAATGAGACTACAACTCATGCTATCAATACTTCAATCATAATCAACTCAAAATGAGACTACAACTCATATTATTAGCACTTCAATTCATCTATGTTATGCAAACATAATTAAGATTTCGGGACTTTCACCCTAGACACTTCGGCCAACTTAGTTATCAATGGAGTCCATCCCCTATCTCCTCCCAAACCATGGAGTACATTCCCTATCTCCTCCCAAACAAGATACATATGCAATGTATTTAAACGCTTATCATATACAATGATCAAGTTAAAGCACATATACAATGTGTTAATCCAACCGTCATATTCAGTGACATATTCCAATTGATTAGTTTCAATCTACCTAATCATCATGCAATTCTACAACAATCATGGCTATCCTCCACCTATAGCTCAAAACAGTTATTTCTAAATAGATAATTAAATTTATCAAATAGATAAATTAATACATTTTCATAGGTGAGTGATTAATCATTCCAACTACACCATTCAATCTCATAATTTCCCAATTTCATGATTTCCAACTCAATTTCATATTTTCACAAATTATCAAATTAATTAATTAGATTCAATTAGGGAATTTTCCCCCTTTTCTCAACTTCAACCCTAAGGCTTGATTTCCTCAATCTTACACCAATAATCCCATTTTCCAAGGTCTCACATATACATGGAGCTTAACCATTGAAAACTCATAGAAAGGAGTAGGTGTAGACGCGCCCGCGTGGGGCCCTCGCTACAGTTCGGACTCGATTTGTCACGGTTCTTAATCTGAACCAAAGAGTCCAAATCTGGCAAACCGTTTTGAGAAAAACAAATTTTTAGAAAAAGAAGTGCCAAACATGGACTGCTTTTGCCAGATACAGAGTCGCCACCTAAATATTTTTTAAATGGGGAAATTTAGGAAACCCTGACTCGGTGCCAAAGGCCACGTGTTCCGTCATC